GATTTCAGGGCATTTTGGGGCTGTATTTCGGGGTATTTTGGGGCTGTATTTTGGGTTGATTTCAGGGTATTTTGGGCCGTATTTCAGTGTATTTTTGGCTGTATTTTGGGGGGATTTTGGTGCATTTTGGGCTGAATTTTGGGTCAATTTCAGGGCATTTTGGGCTTTATTTTGGGTCGATTTCAGGAGATTTTGGGCTGGATTTTGGGCTGAATTTTGGGGCAATTTCGGGGTATTTTGGGCTGTATTTCAGTGTATTTTTGGCTTTATTTTGGGCTGTATTTCAGGATATTTCGGGCTGTATTTCAGGATATTTCGGGCTGTATTTCAGGATATTTTGGGGCTGTATTTTGGGCTGTATTTCAGTGTATTTTTGGCTGTATTTTGGGTCGATTTCAGGATATTTTGGGCTGTATTTCAGTGTATTTTTGGCTGTATTTTGGGCTGTATTTCAGGGCATTTTGGGCCGTATTTCAGTGTATTTTTGGCTGGATTTTGGGGTGATTTCAGGATATTTTGGGCCGTATTTCAGTGTATTTTGGGCTGTATTTTGGGTCGATTTCAGGGCATTTTGGGCCGTATTTCAGTGTATTTTTGGCTGTATTTTGGGTCGATTTCAGGATATTTTGGGGCTGTATTTCGGGCCGTATTTCAGTATATTTTGGGCTGTATTTTGGGGCGATTTCGGGGTATTTTGGGCTGTATTTCAGTGTATTTTTGGCTGTATTTTGGGCTGTATTTCAGTGTATTTTGGGCTGGATTTTGGGTTGATTTCAGGATATTTTGGGCTGTATTTCAGGATATTTTTGGCTTTATTTTGGGTGTATTTCAGTGTATTTTTGGCTGTATTTTGGGCTGTATTTCAGGATATTTTGGGCCGTATTTCAGTGTATTTTGGGCTGTATTTTGGGGTGATTTCAGGGCATTTTGGGCCGTATTTCAGTGTATTTTTGGCTGTATTTTGGGTCGATTTCAGGATATTTTGGGGCTGTATTTCGGGCCGTATTTCAGTATATTTTGGGCTGTATTTTGGGGCGATTTCGGGGTATTTTGGGCTGTATTTCAGTGTATTTTTGGCTTTATTTTGGGCTGTATTTCAGGATATTTCGGGCTGTATTTCAGGATATTTTGGGGCTGTATTTTGGGCTGTATTTCAGTGTATTTTTGGCTGTATTTTGGGTCGATTTCAGGGCATTTTGGACTGTATTTTGGGCTGTATTTTGGGTCGATTTCAGGGCATTTTGGGCCGTATTTCAGTGTATTTTTGTCTGTATTTTGGGGCGATTTCAGGGCATTTTGGGCTGGATTTTGGGGCGATTTCAGGATATTTTGGGCTGGATTTTGGGGCGATTTCAGGGCATTTTGGGCCGTATTTCAGTGTATTTTTGGCTGTATTTTGGGCTGTATTTCAGTGTATTTTTGGCTGTATTTTGGGTTGATTTCAGGGTATTTTGGGCTGTATTTCAGTGTATTTTGGGGCTGTATTTTGGGCTGTATTTCAGGGTATTTTGGGCTGTATTTCAGTGTATTTTTGGCTGTATTTTGGGTCGATTTCAGGGCATTTTGGGCTGGATTTCAGTGTATTTTTGGCTTTATTTTGGGCTGTATTTCAGGATATTTCGGGCTGTATTTCAGGATATTTTGGGGCTGTATTTTGGGCTGTATTTCAGGGCATTTTGGGCCGTATTTCAGTATATTTTTGGCTGTATTTTGGGGCGATTTCAGGATATTTTTGGCTGTATTTTGGGCTGTATTTCAGGATATTTTGGGCCGTATTTCAGGATATTTTGGGCTGTATTTTGGGTCGATTTCAGGAGATTTTGGGCCGTATTTCAGGGTATTTTTGGCTGTATTTTGGGGCGATTTCAGGAGATTTTGGGCTGTATTTTGGGGCGATTTCGGGGTATTTCGGGCCGTATTTCAGTGTATTTTTGGCTGTATTTTGGGCTGTATTTCAGTGTATTTTTGGCTGTATTTTGGGCTGTATTTCAGGATATTTTGGGCCGTATTTCAGTGTATTTTTGGCTTTATTTTGGGGCGATTTCAGGATATTTTGGGCTGTATTTCAGTGTATTTTTGGCTGTATTTTGGGTTGATTTCAGGAGATTTTGGGCTGGATTTTTGGCTGTATTTTGGGCTGTATTTCAGGGCATTTTGGGCCGTATTTCAGTATATTTTTGGCTGTATTTTGGGTGGATTTCAGGGCATTTTGGGCTGGATTTTGGGGCGATTTCAGGATATTTTTGGCTGTATTTTGGGCTGTATTTCAGGATATTTTGGGCCGTATTTCAGTGTATTTTTGGCTGTATTTTGGGGCGATTTCAGGAGATTTTGGGCTGTATTTTGGGTTGATTTTGGGGTATTTTGGGCCGTATTTCAGTGTATTTTTGGCTGTATTTTGGGTCGATTTCAGGGTATTTCGGGCCGTATTTCAGTGAATTTTTGGCTGTATTTTGGGTCGATTTCAGTATATTTTTGGCTGTATTTTGGGGTGATTTCAGGGCATTTTGGGCCGTATTTCAGGATATTTTGGGCCGTATTTCAGTATATTTTTGGCTGTATTTTGGGTGGATTTCAGGGCATTTTGGGCTGGATTTTGGGGCGATTTCAGGATATTTTGGGCTGGATTTTGGGGCGATTTCAGGGCATTTTGGGCCGTATTTCAGTGAATTTTTGGCTGTATTTTGGGCTGTATTTCAGGATATTTTGGGCCGTATTTCAGGATATTTTGGGCTGTATTTTGGGTCGATTTCAGGAGATTTTGGGCCGTATTTCAGTGTATTTTTGGCTGTATTTTGGGGCGATTTTAGGGTATTTTTGGCTGTATTTTGGGTCGATTTCGGGGTATTTTGGGCCGTATTTCAGCGTATTTTTGGCTGGATTTTGGGTCGATTTCAGGGTATTTTGGGCTGTATTTTTGGCTGTATTTTGGGTCGATTTCAGGAGATTTTGGGCTGTATTTTGGGCCGTATTTCAGTGTATTTTTGGCTGTATTTTGGGTCGATTTCAGGGCATTTTGGACTGTATTTTGGGCTGTATTTTGGGTCGATTTCAGGGCATTTTGGGCCGTATTTCAGTGAATTTTTGGCTGTATTTTGGGCTGTATTTCAGGATATTTTGGGCTGGATTTTGAGGCGATTTCAGGGCATTTTGGGCCGTATTTCAGCGTATTTTTGGCTGTATTTTGGGTCGATTTCAGGATATTTTGGGCTGGATTTTGGGGTGATTTCAGGATATTTTGGGCCGTATTTCAGTGTATTTTTGGCTGTATTTTGGGTCGATTTCAGGGCATTTTGGACTGTATTTTGGGCTGTATTTTGGGTCGATTTCAGGGCATTTTGGGCCGTATTTCAGTGTATTTTTGGCTTTATTTTGGGGCGATTTCAGGATATTTTTGGCTGTATTTCAGCGTATTTTTGGCTGTATTTTGGGTGGATTTCAGGATATTTTGGGCCATATTTCAGTGTATTTTTGGCTGTATTTTGGGCTGTATTTCAGGATATTTTGGGCCGTATTTCAGTGTATTTTTGTCTGTATTTTGGGTGGATTTCCGTGCCTTTGGGTGCCCTCTCACCCCCTCCCCGCTCCCTTCCCGCAGCTCCCTGGGGCCGGCGGGGCTGGAAGCGATTCGGGGCCGAGCTCCGGGGGTCCCTCCTGCTCCTCCTCAGGGACCCCCCCGAGGGACCCCAGGAGCTTTTGGGGCTCCCCCACGCCCTGGCCCAGCCCCACCCCAAATACACCAAGAGACCCCACGTCTTCCTCCTCAGCACCGGGGACCGGCGGCAGTTCCTGTGCCAGGCAGGGTGAGCACGCCCCAAAAAACACGGGGGGACCCCAAAAAACACGGGGGGACCCCAAAAAACACTGGGGGACCCCAAAAAACACGGGGGGACCCCAGAAATACAGAGAGAGACCCCAAAAAAATATAGAGAGAGACCCCAAAAAACACTGTGGGACCCCAAAAAAATATAGAGAGACCCCAAAAAAATACAGAGAGACCCCAAAAAACACAGAAAGACCCCAAAAAAATATAGAGAGACCCCAAAAAAATACAGAGAGAGACCCCAAAAAAATATAGAGACCCCAAAAAACACTGGGGGACCCCAAAAACACTGGGGGACCCCAAAAAAATATAGAGACCCCAAAAACACTGGGGGACCCCAAAAATACTGAGGGACCCCAAAAACATTTTTGGGTTATTTTTGGGGTATTTTTGGGGCATTTTTGGGGATTTTGGGGCATTTTTGGGGCATTTTGGGGCATTTTTGGGGTATTTTTGGGGTTATTTTGGGGGTATTTTTGGGGTATTTTTGGGTTATTTTTGGGGTTATTTTGTGGATTATTTTTGGGTTATTTTTGGGTTAATATGGGGTCACTTTTGGGGTATTTTTTGGGGTATTTTTGGGGTTATTTTTGGGTTAATTTTGGGTTATTTTTTGGTTATATTCGGGGTCATTTTTGGGTCATTTTTGGGTTATTTTTGGGTCATTTTTTGGGTTATTTTCGAGGGGTATTTTTTGGGGGGTATTTTTGTGTCATTTTGGGGTACTTTTGGGGTTATATTTGGGGTTATTTTTGGGGCATTTTGGGGCATTTTTGGGGGGTCATTTTGGGTTATTTTTGGGTCATATTGGGGGTATTTTTGGGTTATTTTTGTGGTATTTTTGGGTCATTTTTGGGGTTATTTTGGGGTCATTTTGGGGTTATTTTTGGGGTATTTTTGGGGTATTTTTGGGTTATTTTTGGGGTTACTTTTGGGTTGTTTTGTGAATTATTTTTGGGTTATTTTTGGGTTATTATGGGGTCACTTTTGGGGTATTTTTGGGGTTTTTTTTGGGGTATTTTTGGGTTAATTTTGGGTTATTTTTTGGTTATATTCAGGGTCATTTTTGGGTCATTTTTGGGTTATTTTTGGGTCATTTTTTGGGTTATTTTCGAGGGGTATTTTGGGGTATTTTTGGGTCATTTTTGGGTCATTTTTGGGCCATTTTTTGGGTTATTTTCTGGTTATTTTTTGGGTTGTTTGGGGTCACTCCGGAACACTTGGGCTGGTTTAAGGTTGGTTTATTCCATACCGGGGGACGCCGGGGGGGTGTTGGGGTTCGGATGACGTCACCGTGACGTCACGCCGACGCCCCCGATGACGTCACAGGAGCGCGGCGGAGCTGCAGCGCTGGGTGGGGGGGATCAACCTGGCGGCGGCGCTCTGCTCCCGGCCCCCG